AAATGTCTTACTCGAACAAGGCCCTTGACATTCTGTTCACTTAGAGATCCCAATCATAACCAGTGACCCTTTTATTTCCTAGACTTCTGAGAACACAGGGTTCTATCACCTGTTAAAACCCTGGGAGAGAAACTTAATGTAAGACAAGAAAGAACATTTCCTTATTACTTGTTACATGATTCAAAGATTGTATATTAGAATACCACAACCAACTAGTTCCGTAATTTCAGAATACATTTCCATTCCAACTAAATTATCCACTAAAAACACACCCAACAGAGAGTTCTTCCAGAAGTAATTTCTTAGTGAAGAAATGCCATTCAGAACATCAAAAAATGGAATATTTTTAGAAACAGTGTTGCCTAATAGAAATATGAGYGCTACATTATATCATGCTATTTTTTTGTCGCCACACTTTATAAAAGAATCTAGTGATGTTAATTTAAGTGTCTATTTTATTTAACCCCAAATATACAAATATTGTCACTTTGATTTTTTTAATCATTACAAAAAATATCAACGAGATGTTATACTCTTTCTTTTGTGTGTCATAAGTAAAATCCAGTGTGTATTGTTCACTTACAGCACATTCCAGTTCAGATTAGCTCCCTTTCAAGTGCTCATTAGTCACACGTGGCCAGTGGCAGTCACACAAGGCTGGCTGCTACCCTCAGAGCAGCACAAATGCAGGCCAGGTCTGTGCTGAGCTGTTACCTTCTCAAGATGCTTCCCAGCCTGACTCTGTGGATCCTTGACTTASTCTAACTTGTCTCTTCTCCAACATTCTTTAAAAAATATTCAAATATCTCAATTCATTGTTGACTATAGCTGAGCTTTCACCCTTCAGCCTTCCTGTCCTGCCAGACTTCCAGTGTCCTGGAGAGGCAGGAGGGTCCAACTCCTCTGCACACTACTTGCTAATCCTACCACCTTCTTGATCCTTTGTTGCCCCCGTGAGGCAACTAATAGTACTGCACCACCAGCTTTGTTAGCCCTTGGGGCTGCAGCCCAATCAAGGCCTCCGGGAAATACAAAGAAGCAGATGTTCACAAGACAAATCAGAGCAAGCTGCAATAATGTCCATAGACCWGGGCCCTGGGGTGCATGCCTGTAACCCCAGTGACTGGGGAGGCTGAGGCAGGAGGATCCYAAGTTCAATGCCAGCCTCAGCAACTTTGCAAGCCCCTAAGCAACTTAGTGAGACCCTGTTTCAAAATAAAAATTCACAAGGGCTGGGGATGTGGCTCAGTGTTTAAGTGCACCCTGGGGTTCAATCCCTGATACCAAATAAATAAATAAACAAATAAAACATGTCCATAGTAATTGCTCTACTGCATTAGTTGGACAGCATAGTCCAACTATGATGGAAAGCTTTGTGACACCCAATTTACCCTCATAATTAACTGTCAAGGATCCAGTAGTAAATTTGACATATAGGAATATAACTTGTGGCATTTGATTGGGGATTAAGGTTTTCTCAATTAAGTCCTTTTGTGATTTAGGGTCATCATATCCTGGTTGGTGCTCTTGGCTACTGTTATCTTTGGCCTTTGCTGATGCCCCATGGAGTAGCTGCTGTTTCTAATCTGGGGAACTTCCTGTCAGCAGAAGCCAGCATTCCCTCCTTTTACACTGTTCCTATTCCTACTTAACTGAAGATATGGAGTCCAGAAGACTTTTTTGTAATCCACTCTTAAAACTGCACCTTATCTTCATTCCCCATTTCTTTCACGCCTATCTCTGCAGAGATAAGAGAGTTCCACACCTGATTTTGCTCAACACTGTATCCAAGTAMCTGTACTTACATTTGCTGAATGAATGCCGACTACAGTGACAGGGGAAATACAGCTGTCAAAAAATGTTGGGCTGGGGCAGAACACATGCTCAGCATGCCTGAGGCCCCAGATTCAATCTCTAGCACCATCAAAACCAAATTTTGTTTTTGGTAAAATATTTAGTAACTGTGCTATTCAGGAGGCTGAGGCAGGAAGACTGCAAGTGGGAATCTAGCCTAGTCTAGTCTAGGCAGGAAGACTGCAAGTTGGAGTCTAGTCTGTCTCAAAAGAGGCTGGGGGTATTGTTAAGTGCCCCAGGGTTCAATTCCCAAAATCCCAAAAACAAAACAACAAACCTGTATCCAGGTTGATTGAAACTTTTTGTCAAAGCACACATATAAGTGGACAAAAAAGTAAGAAAGCACATCTCCATCTTTTCAGTATCATCTCAAGCAATAAGATTTGGTTGTTTTTGTTTGTCCTTCTTAGACTTTCCTATATCTTCCAAATTTCCAGAGTATCATTTTTATTATTTATGTATAAATAATTGCTAGTATCTGATTTCTAAATACTACTTCCCTTGACCATTCTCCTCTACTTTCTGTCGACAGGTCTTACCAGTAGTGAAACCAATTTCTATCAATATCCRCTGGTTACTCACGCCTGCAATCCCAGTGGCTCGGAAGGCTGAGGCAAGAGGATCTCAAGTTCAAAGTCAGTCTCAACAACTTAGTGAGGCCCTAAGCAACTCAGTAAGACCTGTCTCCAAATAAATACAAATTGAACTGGTTATTGTGGCTTAGTGGTTAAGCACCCCTGGGTTCAATTCCCAGTGCCAAAAACAAAACAAAAAACAAACAAACAAGAAAACACACTYCACTGGTTAACAGATTTTCAGGCATATTTTCAATTTAAACACTGAAGTTACATGTAATTAAGAAATCTGGAACATGACTATTTGTCACCCACAGCACAATGACTGTGCTTAAGGTACCYGTATGGAATCCTATCTTATCTAACTCTGCCACTCTGGTGAATTTTTTAAAAATATTTTTTTAGTTGTAGATGGACACTTTATTTATTTATGTGGAGCTAAGGATCAAATTCATGTGCCTCACACTTGCTAGGTGAGTGCTTTACCCCTAAGCCACAACTCCAGCCCTACTCTGGTGAATTTGTAATATAATGTTTGGCAAAAAATAAAGCACATCAGATAAAAAGTGCTGAAAAGTCAGAGCTATAAGGATTAAAGACTATTATTATTGTTTACCTTGCAGTATTTGGGGAATCAAACCCAGGGCCTAGCACATGCTAGGCAAATAAATACTCTRCTATGAAGCAACAACATTGCCAATACTTTTTAGTTTGAGACAGGGTCTCTCTAAATTGCCCAGGCTGGCCTTGAACTTGTGATCCTCCTGCCTCAGCCTCCCAAATAGCTGGGATTATAGGCATGTGTCATCATGTTCAGAAAGACAATTTTGAGTTTTAAAAAGCATTTAGTAGAAATCTTTCTTTGAAAGATCTTTAAGTGTGTGCCATATACTTATATACATATACAAATGAGCATTCATCTAGATTGTTCCTTTTATAAGAATAAAATAGTGATAGGTGTAGCTACAGTTGTGAACAGGTAAATTACTTGGACTAACATCTCTGTGGGTTAGGTTTCTATTTGCACAGGAGTCCCTTCATTTGGGAACTCTCTCACAGGTACATCTTTCAGGCTACCTTCTGTGGTCCTCTGACCATTAACCGTTCATGATGCCAAATCTCTGGCTTGACCGAGGTCAGCGTGAAAGCTTTGCTCCTATCTCTTTGTGCTTTTCCTTCCCCACTCACCCACACAGACTATTATATTCTTTTCTCGTTTCCTCCAGACTGCTAATGATAACTTTGAATACCTATGTTGGACATCATAACCCTTTGTGGGCGAGGGCAAGGCAGTTAATGAATCACCGTGTCAGGGCAGAAGGTTCAGATCYTCTGTTATTTAAAGTACAAAATGAAATAAAAGGCATTTTTAGAAAAGTCTGAGAATAATTCAATTGCTGTAAAACAATGTATATTTTTTTTAGARAGAGAATTTTTTTAATATTTATTTCTTAGTTTTCAGTGGACACAACATCTTTATTTTATTTTTATGTGGTGCTGAGGCTCGAACCCAGTGCCCCGCACATGCCAGGTGAGCGCGCTTCTGCTTGAGCCACATCCCCAACCCTATATCTTCTATCTTGAGACTTTTAAAAAAGTTCTTCCAATGAGGACACATATTACATGAAAGATTGACTATATAAGATTATCTCATTTAAGATTCTTTGGGTACAAGTTACAGAAACCAACTCCAGCTCCTGCAGGAGAAGCGGGCATTATCACATGGCAGGACACTCTTCCACACCTCCTGGGAAGGTGAAAACAGGGACACAAGACACCTGTGGTCTCTCTCCTATTTGCGTCTCTGCTTTTTTTTTTTTTTTTCCATGTTACAGTTTCACCCTCTCTGCATTCAGCTTACTGTTTCAGCCCCAAGTCCAAAAAAATCTCAAAAGAGAATCAGATTGGCCCAGCTTGGGTCAGTGGTCCACTCTTGTTTCCCTCAACTGGCTGTGGTATGTGTGGGTATGTGTGGCTTCTGAGCCCACACTGTGGCCTGGGGGCAGGGCTCGGGGAAATGAGAATTTTTTTTTTTTTTTTTTTTTTTGATACTGGGGATTGAATCCAGGGACACTTAACCTGTGATCCACATTCCCAGCCCTTTTTGTATTTTACTTAGAGACTGGGTCTTACTGAGTTGCTTAGGGCTTCACTGAGTTGTTTAGGGCCTCGGTAAGTTGCTAAGGCTGGCTTTGAACTTGCAATCCTCCTATCTCAGCCTCTGGAGCCACTGGATTATAGGCATGTGTCACTGTGCCAGCTCTTTTATAGTTTGGGGAAAGAAAACATTTGTCCCATATAGGTTGGTTTAATTAAGTTTTTAAAAAAATCTATTTCTTGATTTTGTTACATGTAGAGAAAAATGTTACAGTGAATTCTAGGATTTCAGGATAAGATAGGAGCTTAGAGTAAAAGCTCATCTTTTGCATAAGCTTTGTACTACTTTGAACCCTATTAAATCATTACATTTCTTCCATGATTCTAAATTTCATAAAAATGCAAARTTTTCTGTCAGTAGGTTATATGCATTATTTATTTTATTTTTTAATTATACAAGAAATACATGCTGGCTACAAAAAATATTCTTAAAATCTTTAAGACTCACAGGTTAACATTTTGCCCCCAGTTATATACTCCTCTGTAAAGGAGCTACTTTAACATTTAAGTACGAGTTTTCCTTTAAAAATTTATATGCACTTTTAGAGCAATGATCTATGATTTGGCTTATGAGAAATTTAAAAAAGTTTAAAACATCTATTTTTAAGGCTTAGCATGATTTTCAAAAACATATGACTTATTTTAGTTATATTTCATTTACTTTTCGGTAAGTAGATACAATTTTTCAAAGATGTAGTCAATTCCCCAAGTTTTATGTCTTTCTTCAAAAGTGTCCACCTTCTCAAGGCAATGAAGATTGCATTTTGTACCTAAAACGAGAAAGGGTCACAGTCAAAATTCTGTGAAGCAATAGTTAAACTATAGAACCAGCCCAGGTGTCCATCAATGGACGGATGAATGAAGAAACTGTGATACATACACACATGGAGCTTATTYGGCCATARTGAAAAGAGAAATCAYACCATTTGCARGGAAATGGATGGAACCTGAGAATATTATATTAAGTGAGATAAGCCAAACTCAGAAGGTCAAGGGTCGCGTGTTTTCTCATATGTGGAAGCTGGAGAGGAAAAAGGAGAAGAAAGGTGGTGAGGGGGGGATCTCATAAAATCAAAGGGAGATCAGCAGAGGAAARGGACCAAGGGGAAGGAGGAGGAGAGGAAAGGGGRCRTGCTGGGGAGTGACGCTGGACAAATTACACTGACACATTGTGTGCACACACACGTGTGAATATGTAAGAGCAAGTCCCGCTCTTACATACAACTATATAAAAAAAAGTGGGGAAAAACTGAAGAATGTCATGAGGGTGCTTCTAAAAACACTTCACATGATTTTAAAGGGAGTGTGCACTGAGGCTCTTTCTCTTCTGTTTAATGCAAAATAGGAAATGCTAAGGACAAACTCTGGGCTCTGAATTGTTATCAATCAAAACTCCCAGGAGCAACAGTGAACATACATCTCTGTGGAAGAGTTCAACTGTTTTAACACCAAGCATATAGCCAAAAAGCCATGTTATAGAGATTGGTTCCTTTTCTAGGAGACAACGGTTTTCAATAAAATGGTCTCTGTCTTTTAAATTTCATAGGCTTTAATCACGTACTAATAGTTTACTAACAGCTCAAAACAGTTAACCRTGGACTTAAAAAGTTAGAGCCTAACTTACCAAACAACTTTTGAATTTCAGTATCTGGAACATAAAATGGTGGGCCTAGGAAAAAGAGAAACAGGGTGAAGAACGATTCCTATAAACAGGACTCTGAAGAGCAATGAGCGCCCCAGGCCTACCTCCACCTGTTCCCAGTGGCCCAGTTGTACCTGCTCTATACATAACTCCGTCATCCAAATAGGCGAAGATGTGCATGTTCTGTTTTTGTTGTTGTTGTTGTTGTTATTGTTGTTTTTTATATGTTTTTTTTTTTGCATATCTCATACAAAGAAGAAAGCTGAATTATTGTGGGAATGACCTTGTTACACATCCATTTGAGTGTATTTAAAATAGAGGCTGAGCCAGCATGGATCTTGAGAACATGGAAATCAGGGTGGAGTCCATTAGTAAATTCCTTTGGGGTTTCTTGTTTTCTGGGCACTGATTTTCTACCTCCTGCACCCACTCACTTTCTGTATGCTCCTCCTTCTCCGCTGTGGGGCACAGAGTTTACTAGGAACCTTCCCTTTGCCTTTTAAGAGAGGCTCCACCCCCAGACAGAGCCCGCTGTGTCTCCTTCCCACGGGCCCTTCTGAGGCCTCTGTTCATGAATGGAATTCAGATCAGATTAGCAGAACTAACTTCTGCCTCCAATAGCTTCTATTTCCATCCAACTGTCTCAGACTTAATTAGGGGCACTGGATCTCATCTCTTAATGAGTTTTTTTAGACCTAATTTATTAGGACAGAAAAAAAGACTAACATATGCAAATATTTATATAACAAGGCTCTTTTTAAAAAGCTCAACTAAAAATCTAAAAGGGGATTCTTAAAAATTAAAAGCCTGTGGATTTGGTCTCACTTCTCCCTGAAAATTAAAGCCCAGACAAGACAAATGTTAAGTTTCAGTGTCCAGACAAAATGCGTCTAGGAGAAAACATCCCGTTCAGAGATTCAAAACAAAGGGAGCCACAATGGGATGCAATAGATAAATTGTAAACTTTGGGTTGAGATTTTTCTTCCTGCCTGCTCTCCCCCAGGATCACTTCTTCCCCAGCTGGTCCTATGAGGGGGCACCTGTGTGTGTGCATAAGCACCTGCCTGGCAAACTACTACACCATGATGATATGGCTATATAATATCCATGGCAGGGTGACCAGGTCTCCCCTTCCTTCCAGTGCGTATGAGGTTTCTCTTGTATACGAGGATCATCCATTTTCCTTTCCCTAGTTTGAGTATGAATAGTAAACAAAATGGGAAAGGAATATATAAAAGCAATGTACAGTGTGGGAATAGAAAGAAAACATTCATCATTCCCATTAGCCCAAAATAGAATTATCTTCATGCATATAAGTAATACGTTTCCCATGAAATAAATAAGACCAAAAAATTCTTATTCATGTCAGAGAATTAAATCAGAATATTAGGGGGGAAAAAATAAAACCAGCTTTACCTGCATGTTTTGTTGGATCATAAGAAAGAACAGCCAGGAGGTACTGAAACTTTTCTCTCAGTAGGGACAACATGACATCCACATAGCTAAAGAGGACACAGAAAGGTTTAGGATACACTCCTCTGGGGACCTGAGGCAGGGCAGGAAGCCTGTGCTCATTTCCATCAACACACCCAAGTTAGTTCTCATTCTAAACGCAGGAAATGGGTCCAGCAAATTATGGCCCTGTCTAAAGTGGACGAGGAGAAAGAGCCAAGTTGCAGGCTGCTCCAAAGGACTGCGCTGCCTCAGTGCTCAAGGAGGTGGCTCCCAGGCCAGGTCAGGGCTCAGCACTCACTGAAAGGACAGATGCTGAGCTCTGTCCACAGGTTGACTCAGCAGGTTTGCTGTGAGGCCGAGGGTGCTGCAGTTTAACAAGTGTCCTGGGTGCCTGGCCCCTCCTCCAGGGCATATGTAGGAGATACAAACTCAACCCCTTTCCTCTAATCTGCTGGGAGAGACAAGACCTCCATGMAGGTAAAAACTCAAGGTGGGGCTGGGAAGAGCACATGCATGAGGCCCTTGGTTTGATTTCCCAGCACTGCCAAAACAAAAGAAAAAAAGAAAAAAACATTAAAGTGGGCACGGTGGCACACACTTGAAATCCCAGGGGCTTGGGAGGCTGCGGCAGGAGGATTGCAAGTGCAAAGCCAGCCTCAGTAATGGTGAGGCCCTGAGCAACTCAGTGAGACCCTGTCTCTGAAACACAAAATAGGGCTGGGGATGGGGCTCAGTGGCTGAGTGGCCCTGAGTTCAGTCCCCAGTACCCGCCACTCCCCGCCCCCCAAAAAGCATTCAAGGTGGCATGAGATTAAAGTCCTCCAACTGTGACACAAGCCATGAGTGCTACTGGAATGGTCCTTGCTGTAGGTGCCTCAGGGAGCAGGTGACACCACTTTCCAGCTATGTCTTGGTCCAGACSGGGGACAGGACCCCAACTGGCCCATCAGTAGATGAACCAGGAGCCAGGGCTGGGCCTGGGGCAGGATGGTGAGGGGAACAACCAGGTGGCCTCACTTGGGAACGGAATTAGGAGAGGAGGAAAGCTAGGTGGTGGTGCTTGGCAAGCGTGCATTGTGCTGCTGTGCACAGTGTTCTGTTTTATCAGAGAATCTTATTCACCGTAAGAATCACACCATGCCACACTCTGGGGAAAGAGCCGCACATGCCACACCTGGTCTGCCCTTGGCTTGCCCTTGRCATCCAGTTTGTTCCCCATTGCCTTGTGGGTTTCGCCAGGCAAACCAATGCCTCAAAGAAGAGGAGGCACATCCTGCCAGAGTGGGAAGTTTTGACATTTATCAGAATTGAGTTTAGTCCCTGAGAGTGGTGTTTTATGGAGAAGAAAGCATCTCAGGTGATGCTCTGAGTTGATAAAGGACACTTGAGTCCCATGTGAAAGGCAAAGCAGACATTGGAACTGTGGTGTAGATATTTGGGGGAAAGAACAGGGCTGGAAATATAAAAATCATAAGGGCAAAGGCCAGGTACCATTTATTCATTCATTTCCCCCAACACTGGACACAGTATAAATTTAGAGCATAGTAGGAACTGAACACACATTTATTGAACACATGAATGACAGTAATAGAACTGATCCACAAGGAGTCAGTACCTGAGAGGAAGCAGGGCGGGGTGTGGCTCAGTGGAGGAGGACCTGCCTAGCAGGTGCAGGGCCCTGGGTGCCATCTCCAAAAGGGTTGGGGCTTGGGGGAAGAAGGTGGCAATAGGCCTACGCTGGTTTGCTAGACACTTGTCTTTTTTCTTTCCAAAAAAGAAATGACTGATGACYGAGAAGGAAAAGCCAGAACATGAAAGAAAATTTCTGCTATCTTATATTCTAATTTAAAAACATCAGTGGGCTGGGGATGTGGCTCAAGCGGTAGCGCGCTCGCCTGGCATGCGTGCGTCCCGGGTTCGATCCTCAGCACCACATACCAACAAAGATGTTGTGTCCGCTGAGAACTAAAAAAATAAATATTAAAAAATTCTCTCTCTCTCTCTCTCTCTCTCTCTCTCCTCTCTCACTCTCTCTTTAAAAAAAAAAATAATAAAAACATCAGGTTCGGCAATCAGCCTTCTCATGAGGTCAGTTTTTAAAAATCAAATTCTTATTTCGCTGATGTGGAGCCCAAACTTTCTGGACACATGTCAAAGAGTCTGTCTCCATACAATATTGACTCACTATCCAAGTAATAAGTGGTATTATTTGCATTGGAAAGTACRAGTCACGATCACATCTTCCTCATACGCCTTCTCAAATTTTAGTTTTTTTCCCTAGTAATATTAGGTATGATAAGAAACAAAACATCAATAACAAATGCTCTGGTAAAACATCAGCCAATATTTGATATTCTTTGAAGAGTTAAATAAGGCGCTTTCCACATATTTAATTTCCGTTAACACCCACACTTTGAGGTGGTTGGATGTAGGGTGTGGATTTTAAAGCCACAACAATGAGAGTTAGAGCTCAGCTCCACTAGCTGATGAGTAATTCAGTCTCTTTGAGTTTGGTCTCCTCATCACTGTAATGGAGTAAAGACAATGCATCCCTCCCAGACCTTTAGAGGGACTCATGGTTTGATCTGCAGTGTCCCCCAAAGCTCATGTGTTGGAGTCTTGGGCTCCAATGTGGCAATGTTGGGAGGAGGGGCCTTTGGAGGTGATTGGATCRCAAGGGCTCTGACCTCGGAGGGTTTATCATGTAGGAATTCCTAGCTTAATGGGCTACTGCTGGTGGTGGGAGCTTCAGGAAGTTGGGCCGCTGTGGAGGAAGTAGTTCGTTGTGGGTGTGCCCTTGAGCTGACCTCAGCYTCTTTGTCCTCTCTGCTTTCGAGGAGGTGAGCAGTTTTCCTCCACCACATGCTTTGTCATGATGTTTGCCTTACCACAGGTGTACGGGCAATCTGGCCAAGTGACCATGAACTGAGACCTTTGTGAGCCACAGTCAATCTTTCTTCCTTTGAATTGATTTAGCTCAGGCATTTTGTCCTAGCAAAAGAAACCTGGCTAATACAGGGGAATTAAATATGTCAAACAACGCCTGACAGAGGGCAAATGTCCAAGAGGTGTTACTGGGCAATGTTAGTGAGGCAATGAGGATGGTGTGCAGCGATATTCCATGTTTGCAGAGGAGTAAACACAGAGGCCTAGAGAACTTTGACCAGGGCAACACAGCATAAAAGTGACAGAGCCACAGCCTTATACCTAGGTTCCTAGAGTGAAATCCTATAGTATCCTGAAACTCAGTGGGTTTGTAAAAAAGAAAGAAAGAAAGAAACAAAAAACAAAATCCAAATCACTTACCGTTTGCGATCACCTGGATTAATGGCCACTAATGATCCTCTATCCCAAATTCTGTCAAATTTGCCAATATTTGCTCTACCGGAAAGACAGAGGGAGAAATTGCAACATTTTATGTATGAAAAGTCAAATCCTGAACAAGATGTACCAGTTCCCCACGGCGCACGCTGGTGCTTCACCCAGCATCAAGGGATTAGGATCTCAGGTCTGCTTTTCTTCACGGACTCCAGGGGTAGTTGATCCGGGTGTGGGGGGCTGTCCATTTCCTTATAGTTTAAGAGCCTGTGGCAGCGGTTTCCCTATTCTTTTATGACTCAGAAACACAAGGAGAAATGAAGGACAATGTCTGACAACTCTGCTCCCAGCCTCTGGCTCAGCTATCAGAAATTTCAGCTGGGATCTTGCCTGTTGGTGAACCTGGCTGTTCACTTCTGCGCAGGCCAGGAACAGGGTAGAAGACACTATCTCACTCCCCCTACCTTTTCCTATTTGCCTGGGTTTGGGAGCTATCTTCTAGTTTGGGAGCTCTCCGAGAATATTAATGGACAGATAAGGAGTCTATAAGAAAAATAACTGCAGAACAGAGATTCAAATCAGTGCCTCATGGAGTTTACACCAACAGGTAGAAGTGACGAGAAGACCCCAGTCCCCCGCCAGCACCCACTGTTTTGAAAGCATAGATGTAGAATTCAGTCTTACCTGGGAAGGTCAAAAATGCTGCAACAGTACAATGAAATATTCCCAGAAGAACTCTGTAATGAAACAATGAAAAAATTTTTTCTACTTAGTTAAGGTGTATTTGAATGCCAAGGAAGAAAAAGAAGTTCCAAAAAAAGCAAAGGTGGCAGAGAATGAAATGCATAGTAAACACAGCAATTTTATTGTAGTTTAATTTACAATTAATTAATTTAATGTACCTTATTTACTATTTTAAAACCTGTGTTGGGTTCTTTAGGACCAAYTCAAAGAGGAAAATCATAGAGTACAACCCTAAAGATCAGTGAGGTATTATATTTATATATATATTTAGTTGTAGATGGACACAATGCCTTTATTTAATTTATTTATTTTTATGTTGTGCTGAGGATCAAACCCAGTGCCTCACACATGCCAGGCGAGTGCTCTACCACTGAGCCACAACCCCGGCCCTGAGGTATTATATGTTTTGAGGTTAAAATTCTAGTAATGCTTACTTGAGTAGGGTCCTGACATTTTTGCCCCGCTACAAATAAATTTGCAGCTCCATCAGGCCTGCTGATATAGACAGATTTTTTAATTGGTGCATTATGGTTGTACACAGTGATGGAATTTGAGTTACCTGTTTGTACTTGCACCTAATATAACAGTACAATTTGGCCAATATCACTCCCCAGCAGTTCTCCCTTCCCTTCCCTTCTCCCACTCCCTGCTCTGATCTCCCTCCGATTTTCATAAAATCCACCCCCCACCACAACCATTCTTTCTCTTTTTCCTCTCTAGCTTCCACATATGAAAGAAAACACAACCCTTGACCTTCTGAGTTTGGCTTATTTCACTTAACATAATGGTCTCAAGTTCCATTCACTTTCCTGCCAGTGACGTACTCTCATTTTTCTTATGGCTGAATAAATACCACATTTTCTTTATCTAGTCATCTATTGACAAATACGTAGGTTGGTTCTATAGTTTGGCTATTGTGAATTGTGCTGCTATAAACATGGGTGTGCATGTACCTCAATAGTATGATGATTTTGATTCTTCAGGATAAATACCAAAGAGGGGGATAGCTGGTCATATGGGAGTTCCATGCCTAACCTTTTGAGAAACCTCAATACTGATCTCCACAGTGGTTATATTAATGTACAGTCCTACCAACAGTGTGAAAGTGCATTTATTATTGTTTGTTCTCTTGATGACTCCACTCATACATATTTAAAAAGTTATTCAGGAAAAGTGTGTTTGTGCTGCCTCCCCCATTTCTCAATCACTCCACATGAGCACTTGCTGACTGAGCACTTGGGGGACAGGCAGGGACCTATCCTGAACTCGAGGTAATGCATGTGAGTTTGACTCAGTCTCCGACTGCAGAGAAACAGGATGACAGAGAAACAGATGGCCAGTTTGGTTATGGTGTGTGCCCGAGGACAATGTGAACACAGAAGACAGAGCAAGGGGCTTTCCGGGATCCTTGGGGCAGGTTGAACAAGAAGGAGCCTCAGATGGCGTCTTGATGTATCTGCTGACATCAAAATGGGGGGCTGGGGGTGCACTCCAGGAAGAGCAACACGATGCAGACCTGAGAAGTCTGGGAGCTGGGAGTGCGGGGGAGGGCCATGTAAGAAAGGTGCATCAGGATGCGCCAGATTCGATCGGAACCCAGGCACCAGTACAGGTTCCCAAGTAGAGGAGAGAAGGTCTTGAACACCAGCTTGGAAGCTCTGTGGGGGTCGTCCAGAGGGTAGGGGACGCTGGAGGCTGGAAAAACAGCCAGTGGATCTCTACTTTGGTTGCAGACTGGAATCCCTGGGCAGCTTTAACCAGTATTGACGCTCCTGCCCAAGAAGACTCCAATTTAATTGACTTGGGTGAGACTTGGGAATTTTTAAAAGACTCATGGATGATTTTAAATGTGCAGCCAGAGCTAGAAAGCACTACCCTAAGAGGGGGTCTGGAAGCAGGCCTAGCTTCTTTGGACTAAGCAAACTCCCAGAATTCCTATATGATTGAGAACGGGTTGGAGGTGGGGTAACTTTAAAGCAAAGTGTTATCAAGTCTTGTACTGAACTGAGCAATAAATTTCAATATTTAGAAGAGAATTTGTGAGAGACTGGGTATACCAATGGACAACGGCCAGGCCGTTTATGACAACATGACTCTGAACCACAACCTGGGTCTACCTGGTTAATGACTGCCAGCTTCCCTGACACCTACCACAGCAAGTCAAATACACTCCCCACCTAGCCACGCAGGATGGCCATCCTAGATGCCCACCTCGCACATCCCCAGGCCAACAGCCTCCGGTCAGTACACACCAGGAGGCCTTTCCCCCACTATCSTGTTTCCCTGCTCCTCTGCAGCCTTTGAGTCTCTGCTAAACACAAGTGGCTGACTCCCTCTTAAAATCAGCCTCTGCTGTCATCTGGGTGGGTTTGTTTATTTCTCCATTATTACTGCAAGCTAGAGGCAGAGTTCCACTGGATCAGGGTGATGACAACCCCAGAGCCATCGTCTCCAGCCCTAACACCACCCCTTTCCTATCCTTCAACTCATCATCCCCAGAATAGAACTCATTTTCTCTGCTCTTCAACTTGCTGCTTTATTCTCTACCACCTGACTAGTTACCTGAGCTAGAAATGGAACCCATCACCCCCTTATCCCCGCTCAGTCTCCAAACCCTGACAGTGACACTGCAGATGTTGCTTTAATCCATCCTGTATGCTCTCCAGGCCTCATTCTCCTCCCCAGGCTTTCGAGATCTCCTTCCTGGGCCACTGCCACACCCTCCTACCTCATCTCTTGCTGGGAGGCTACCTCCCTTCAAGTAAATTCCCATGAAGGCATAAAGGGGATCCATCTCCAGTGGAAGCCTGGCCCTGTCCTGATCCTACTTAAACCCCACTGTGCAGAAGCAGTGCTGACTTCCTGGGCTTCTGAGGTCAGGGACTCAAGCCCTGCCTTTTCCCAGGCTTGTCACCATGAGTCAGTGTGTACCCCAAGCTGGGCTGGGTCACTCCCTGTCATTCCCCTAATCCCCTAGGTCTTTAAGTTTTGTTCCATGCATTATGTAGTTTCGTTTCTGTTTCTTTTTTCTCCTAAGCTAAGAGATTTTTTTAGGGCAGGGACTATATCATCTTTTATTTCTTCAATGTCTGATACAGGTTTTGCCACCTAATAGATTCTCAGAAAAGGAATATTAATTCAAAAAGAAGGAGGAGAAGGAGAAATAGGAAAAAAAAAAAAAAGGTTAGGGGTATAGTTCAGTGGTAGAGCATTTGCCTAGCATACATGAGGCCCTGTGTTCCAGTCCAACACCTAGTGTGTATGTGCATGTGCGCACGCACGCGCGCGCGCGCACACACACACACACACACACACACAGACCAAACCAAACTGTGCAGCTCAGTGCAGTGGAGTACAGAGAGACTTTGACCTCAGCTTTTGTATTTCTCTATGCCTATATATATATATTTCGCTAGCTACCATCTATATTTTGAGGCCCTAGCTCCTTACAGTATATAATTACTTACCAAGATCAAAACAAACCTTAAMTACTTTGGTACCAGGAATTTCAGCAATTGGTTCTTCTGAGTAAGAAAGGTTTTGCTCCATAAAAAATTCCCGTATCCCAAGTTCACTGATTTCCACACCAACTACACTGTGTCCCCGGTCAGCAAACCTGCAAAAAACAACATATTTATACTTACAGTCCAAATAAAATACTAAATAAAGGCAAATACTTCAATAAACATGTTTTCTTTAATTTTAAGGGATTTTATATATATATTTAGGTTCATGAGGTTCCACAAGACTTGAAAGACAGGGGGATCTATGTATTTTCAAACCTCCTGTTAAGTAGAATTCTGCAAAGTTGACTTATAAGACGTTAGTAAAAAATAAAATTTGGAATGTTGAATATTGATTTAAACCTATGTATCTGATTGGAGGAAATGCTTTCAATTTTCCCTAAATCCATGCTTTCCATTAAAACATTGCGTGTGGAGGACAGGTCTATGTCTGTGCGGCTCAGGGCAGTGGCCATTAACTCGTTGGCTACCGAACATCGGTCTGAAGGAGGAACTGAAATTTTTTTGGGGGGGAACTGATTTTTAAATTTTATTTAAACATATAAAGCCACTGTGATGAGTAGCTACTATATTGGAGCACACAGCTCTAGAACATTAGTTTCCGTTTCTATAATTATCTCATTTCCATTTATTTATAACAAATATCCTAAATTTTTAAAAATATTTATTTATTTATTTATTTTTAGTTCTCGGCGGACACAACATCTTTGTTGGTATGTGGTGCTGAGGATCGAACCTGGGCTGCACACATGCCAGGCGAGCGCGCTACCGCCTGAGCCACATTCCCAGCACCTAAATTTTTTTTTTATCAGCATATGCAACTAACATTTTCCTGCAAGCTAATTATAGAAATCACAGTTTTGGGATCTTGGACACTGGAGAAAATAGTATCAACTGCCGGGTTTCTGTTCTCTCGACTAAAAGGCTCAGGGGTCACTCCAGGTAAACTGGGCTGACTGGGCTGCACAAAATAACCACACAGGAGACACAAATACCTTTTTCTTTGGGGTCGCTGTAACGGCTCCTCTGACCTTAAGGGTCCTCAGGAAGAGAGAGAGCGAGAGCACGTGCTGACCCTTTTATTGAGGAGAAGCTATTCAAATGAGGCAAGGGGTCAGGTTTCAGGGGGCTGARTCTATCTTCATGATGTCCACTGTCAGCAGGTTGAYTGACACCTGGGTAGGCCACACCCAAGGGCACAGTAAGAGAAGGGGACACACACAAGGCACTTCCAWGRAAGATTCTATCCTAAACAGGGCAAGGGRTTATATWACAAAGGAACAGGTGAGCATAGCTYCACCCAYGGGGCTGTAGCARGACACACCCATGCACTAGACACKGACCCTCRSAYCCAAGAAGGGTGGGGAAAGCTCTGCCACATTTCTGTGMCTGAGCGCCTCAGCACCCAGCCAGGGAGTGTGACTCAGTCATGGGTGAGGTTGGTCTCCCACAATCAACAGCATGAATACCTTGGCACAGTAATAAGGTTAGGTCCAATTACATAAGAATAGTCAGTTCTGCTGCAGTGTGACACATGCTTTCCTAAAAATCGCTACGGTATGCAAAATTGTGCAGGCCATGCAGTCACAGGGCTGATGGAAATGTGGGGGTTAGGGAATGACATTTAAAAACTGTACAGTGCCACAGTAAACAGAAACAACACAGGAACCTGACAATAATGGGTTCACACATGTGAAATGGTTAAGAATAAATACTGCCACATGGCACTTCCCCTTGAAAAAGACCTAAAGTTTTCTTGTAGAGGTGGGCTTGGCAAGGCTTCGATTGGTGAATTATTGTGAAGTGATGGAGGAGTGTTACTGGAAACCAAATGGAAAGTTGCAGCACCTGGCGAGCACAACATAGGCTCATAGCACCTGGGGTAAACTGAGGCTGCAGGTGGTGCTGGGGTGTGTGCGCAGGCATGTGCTGTCTGCTCAGCACACGTTGGAGCACTCTTCTGCTTTTGCCTAACGTTTCTTGCAGACGAAATCACCAGAAAGCAAATGGAAAAATCATACGGTCCTCTAATTGTTCCCCAGAATATCAGTTGAGTTAGAACAAAATTCACATTTTCAAAACAAGAACAAGACTGACTGTTACCTGTTATCTACACAAAAGCACACCCTTTCAACCAGGGCAGAGCATGAACTGTTTGCAGTTCCAAAATGAAACATACTAACTGCTTGTCTTGTATTTCCTAGGAAATTTGTGAACTAATACACAGGGAWTACTTTTTCATTTTCCATACATTTTTTGAAAGTATCCAAATTGGCTACATTTTCCCCCTGATTCAACACATGGAAAAATGAAGCATGTTCTACAATAGAGTGGCATTAAAACAAAACAAAATAAAACAAAACAAAAACAAAAGCCTAAATAGCTTAAACATTTCATTTTGATGCTTATGGTCAAGTTGATCTATTCACATCTAATGTCTATATAGATTTCGAACATGGACTAGTTAAATAAATGAAAATTTCTCTAATATAATAACTTACATGTCACCACAGTAGCTCAGTTCTGATATGTCATCATTATTATATTTTGCAGTGCTGGGGATTGAACCCAGGGTTTTGTGCATGCTAGCAAGTGCTCTACCACTGAGCTACAGTCCCAGCTCCAAATGGCTTTAGATCAAAAAATATTCAACAACCACACTTTAACTGGTTTATTCCTCATATTGTTTTCCTAATGTTGCCTAAAATCCCAGCTAGAGCTACACTGTACCATTTATTACAATATCAATAAGACAATCTGTTTATAGAGTTAATATAAACTATTTGCAAATAGTTTCCAAAGTAACTCTGTCTTCTGGTTCAGTGAGGTGGTCAACACCTACGTCTAACAATAGAGGGAAATGTTCTCAAGTTCATGACCACATYAGATCTTAAGCCACAGCACCCATTTAACATATTCTCTCTCTCTCTCCCCCTCCMTTTGTGGTGCTGGGAATTGAACCCAGGACCTTGTTCATGTGAGGCAAGCACTCTGCCAACTGAGGTATGTCCCCAGCCCTTAATATACACTCTTATCTATAAGTTGAAAGAGTGAGAGCTGTCAAAATTCTGCCATCTTTATTGGAAAACCAACTATAAATACACCTTTGCTCCATGGATAGTCACTGATGATAGAGGGAACAGAACATTTTTACTCTATTTTGCCTTTACTATATTTTTCATTTAGTAGTCTTTTTTCTTTCCTGCTTAATGATCAAATTTCTCAACATTTAAGCTTAAAAATGAAGTTGTCTTGGCAGGTAAGCTTGTGTGTGTGTGTGTGTGTGTGTGTGTGTGTGTGTGTGTGTGTGTGTGTTATTAAAACAGAGTTCTGTACAGAAAACAAATTCCAGGTTCCTGACTTTAGGGTAACCCACAGTAACAGTGGCTTATTAATTAATGTGACTTATCTTTGTAGGAATTACTTACAAGGAATATTTTATGCATCACTGATTTTATAACAATGATTCATGATAAAAAAAAACTCTCTTKTTTGGACGGTGTGAGGATTGGACCCCAGGACTTCATACATGGCTAAGCAAATGCTCTACCCTTAAGCTACATCCCCAGTATCTTTTCCTTTTTTTTTTTTCCTTGGTGGTGGGGTGGTACCAGGGATTGAACTCAGGGGCACTTGGCCATTAAGGCACATCCCCAGCCCTATTTTGTGTTTTATTTAGAGATAGTGTCTCACTGAGTTGCTTAGCGCCTCGCTATTGCTGAAGCTGGCTTTGAACTTGTGATCCTCCTGTCTCAGCCTCTGGAGCCACTGAGATTTACAGGCATGTAATCAGACACTCAGCCCCTCTCCCTTTTTATTCCTTAAAGACAGGGTCTCATTAAGCAGTTACCCTGGGTAGCCTCGAACTTTCAATCTTCCTGCCTCACCCTTCTGAGTAGCTGGATTGTAGGTGTATGCCACCACGCCTTGTCATTACAAAAATTTTTATTTGCTCATAGGGAGAGGGTGAGCTGAGCTGCACAGTGGACCATAAACACTGTCCTGCCAAAAAATTATAAGACATTTTGAATTTTTCTGTTCATCTCTATTTCAAATACCTAAAGTTAATTTAGGTTAATTCCTAAACTACCTACAATAATGAAACCATGCTCAAAGATACTGGGTTTTCTCCCCTGCTGGTTCCAAACTAATTTTTTTCCTTTGAAATGTAATGCAAAACACCTGTGTCTGCTTCCTTTATTACTGCTTGAAAATACTGCCTCTAATTACAAAACTATCAATAAGAGTCTACTAAAAATAAAGAATTCCTCTGCATTTCCTGATGATGATTTTTTTTTTTTTTTTTTTGGTACTGGGGATTGAACCCATGGGTGCTCTCCCACTGAGCTACATCTCCAGCCCTTTTATTTTTTGAGACAGGGTTTCACTAAATTGCCCAGGCTGGCCTTGACCATCCTCCTGCCTCAGTCTCCCAAGTAGCTGGGATTACAGACATGTGCCACTCTTTAACCTATATCGTGTTAAATAGTCACTCAAAGAATTTATCGTGAAAGACCAGTATGTTGATGGAAATCTCCTCCTACCATTTCATCTCAACAGCTTTTCCACAAAGAGGAAAAAATACTCTTAGTCCACTCTCCCCTTTAAGAAAAGTATCCAAATGTTTCTTTAACAGCCTGCAGAGAGACAAAAAAAACACAGTTATTTGAATTAGAAGAAAGGCATGTGATGTACAACACAGAAGACCTTTTATGCATCACCTCACTTAAAATTCTCTGAAGTCTTAATGAGTAGGTAATGTTATTATAACATTCACTTTACATATGAATGAACAGGACAGTTAAGTAACTGGTTTAGTCATCCTTCTAGTAATAAATGACTTACACACTGGGTTTTCCTGATCCGTAATTAAAATTTTTTAAAAATGTTTTTCTTTCTTGGTCAATGTGTTTTGAAAATTCTGTATTAATCTTCACATGTATACTTAACAAAGAAAGTGTTGTGGAGAGGGAGCCTCTGAACCTGTGGAGTTTTCAACATCTGTTTTATGGAAATTTCTCTAAATAACTTTAACTCTTGCAGTTTAATTTCCTCTAGGGACACGTAGCTCTTCTAAGGCCACCCCTAAGACAGAGGTGATCTATAACAATGTTCTGGGATGACGCCTCAATTTCTATTCACTGTGAAAAAGTGATAATAATAATGACAATGAAAACAACATCTTTTGGATAGTGGGGTGTTGACCTAGAATAAGGATTGTCTATAATGATCACTTAACTCAAATGGGTTCCATAATTTGTCATTGCTTCTACAAAGACAAATACTGCTACTAARAAGTTGCTTGATATTCTAGCTCCCATATTTTCTCTTCCTTTCTCTTCTTCACCATACAGAAGAACAATAGAATACATGTGACTGGAAATCTGTCAAAACACCCCCACTTTGGAGTATAGAGAGATGATACTTCAGCATCTGCTTTGTATGGGCCTGCATGACCATAGATAGATGCTACCAGCAATTTGTTTTTATATGTAGTTTTAGTTGTAGGTAGACACAATACCTTTATTTTACTTTCATGTGGATGTTGAGGATCAAACTCAGTGCCTCACACRGGCCAGGTGAGTGCTCTACCACTGAGCCATAGCCCCCCAGCCTTGCKACCAGCAATTTTTATAAAGAAAGACATATCATAAATCTAAGATGCCTTCAGTTATAAGTCACATCATTATTTGTACTCTATGGGAAGAAAACACATTGCCAATTCARTTATGACATGCCACAGATGCATTCTGATTTCAGAATTGATACGTATGACAAACTAAAAATGTGCATCTTAAAAACCAGTCTAACAACTGATCTTATTATTTCTGTTTCAAAAGCAGTGTGTGATACAGAATTTCTCTTTCATAGAACAAACATATCTTACTGATGTCCTTGTTCTTGATGAAATCCAATTTTGTGGGTCACCCACTTGTCTTGCCATTCTTCCAGGGTCAGTATTCGGTTTTTCTGTACCTCCCAATCGGGGTACTCTTCAATATCAAGTGAAGTTCTTGTATCACTCATTGTGTATAATAGACACCTTTGTCTACAAGCAGATATCTCCAATTCCTAAATGGAAAATATGTGCAATGTTGTCATTTAAAGACMCTGCAATTCTACTACTAAACTCAATGAAAAACCTAGTATCCTTGGGAGTATGGCTTCTAACAAATATTTCACAATCCAACAGAAAGTCATGAAAAAAATTACTTTTCAGTGAGTCTGATGGTAGAGGCATAACTCATGTTACACATTAGGAAAGATCTTTAAATAAATTGAATTATACCTTAACACTACAGTAAAAGAGCAGGATTTAAGCTTCAAAAAGGTAGGRAAAAAAATCAGACATCACACAGTAACATTCATAAACTTAGAATTTTTTCTAGCATCTTAATTTTTTAAAATTTTCATATTTATGTTTTAGTTTTCATCAGTATCATAGTATACAGTATCCTGAGGAGTTTAACAGATTTGCTATGAAATAAGCAGTCCTCTTTCCCCATGAGAGGCAACCATCTTTAACTCTTTTAGCTGGGTCATGCTATCTTAAATTTGCATGTTCATTTTGTATCTTCTTAATTTGTTCATTTCTAGGTAGCATCTAGAGAAGATGAGCATTTACCTCTCTTACAAATTCCAGGCACATATTCATTCTCCCACACACACACACACACACACACACACACACACCCCACACCATCCTTCTCATCTTTCCTATCTTTCCAATATACTCGCAACATACTTTTGTTGAAATATTTGGTGCGTACATTATAACTAGGTAGGTTCAAAGTTGAACAATATAATATTCTATGATTACTTTTCCTTTTCTTTACGACTTTTGATTCTGTACTGGTTTCTCTCATTTATAAAATTTCCATGAACTCACTAATTCAACTCCAAGCTCTGCCAATTGTCCTGGTTTCCCATCAATATACTCTGAACTCTTAATCATCAGATATGAGGATTAAATTCTGATATTGGTGGGGTTTCAAGAAGGAGGCAAAATACATGCAGGGGTTCAGTATCTCATTTGTTCATCATAATCTGTATTTTTAAATAATTTTTCTCCTAGCTTATTTTTTTGCATGGGAAAATGCACACAAAGGGAACTGAGAAAAAGAACATATACCTGTAGGTCTATCAGAATGTATGAGGAAAATGTCCTTTCAATTTTGCAATATTAAGGACAAACACCACAATTCCAAAATTCCCTTTAAATCATTATGGAAGCTAATTTGGTTTGGATTGAACTAGCATGTTATTATTGGCAGCTCAAACTTAATGATTTATTCATGAAATAGCAAATTTGCATAAAAGCAAGAATTTCAGGAAAAAGTTCCCCTTTTGTTGCACAATTTGGCTTCAGTGTGCTTAGGATTAAAGGAAAAGGCATATTTCAGGATTCACTTTTCAACAAATACTTGTTAACAAGTGGCTTTTGCAAGGCCTTGAAGACATCAGAAGGGGACAGTTTTCTGAGAGGCCCTGGGAAGTGTTGGATTATATTGGGTACACAAAAGCAAGAGAGTTGCACTTTGTCATCTCTATTTCCCAGGAACTGGACCCCTGAGTCCAGAGATCCCTCCTACAGAAGTTCTTTACTGAAACTAAATGGGAAGCACAGTCTACATCATTCACTAGAGCAATCCGGAATTACAAGACTCCATTCCTTTTCCACAGACTTGAACTATATTAATATCATAAATATCATCACTTCTTAATTCTAACAGCTTCTTAACGTGTACTTCACTTGTCTGGGTCATTTCTTAAGAAATAATGTTTCTCAACACGATGTAAACGCAAAGTACCAGAATCAGAAAAGGCAAATTTCACAATGATCCCTTCTCATAAAAGTTAATTTCAAATGTGCTCATCGGTCGCCCAGGTCCTCCTTCACCTTAAAAAAATAAACCCTATTTCTACTTTAGTTACATTTTAATATTTTGTTGGATTGAGTAGCTTCCCTAAGTCACACAAATTTTGAATAAGAGCTTGGTGAGACTTTTTACATATGCACACGCTAGGTAACACACCACTGAGCAGGCCTTAGAATATTCACGACTCCCAGCTTTCCCTGCCACAAGGGCACAAGTCACTATTTTGGCAGTTTTCTCTTTTCTTAAAACTCACCAATATAAACAGTGCTTCGTGGGTTCTCTTGAAATCTTGGATTCAAGGACCGTGYACTACCTGACCTCGTTAGTACTACTTCTCGCTTAGGTTCCTTGACCCCATTTCAGGGCGAGGATAGCATCCGCGCTCCCGGTTCTCGAATTCGGGAAGGCTTCCAGGGGCGCAGGCACTACTCCAGGCAACACTCTCCTCCCCGCTCGCTCAGGGCGCCCCAGGACTCACCTCTCGGGTCCCCGGCTGCCAGTGTCTGCCCGTCCCTCCTCCAGCGGGAGGGCCCCTCCTACTCCCCGAGGCCCCGCCCCTCCGGATAGCCCCTCCTCCTTCCGCGCCTCCTGCACCGCCCCGTCCCCGAGTGCCCCACCCTAGAGGCCACGCCCCTGAAGGGCCCCTGTCTTCCCTCGCCCCGCCCCCGAGCGCCCCTCCTGCCGGCGCTCCGCCCACTCCTCGCCCCTCTGGGCGCTCCTCCTTCCCCCGAACTTCGCCCCGCCCGCTCCTGAGCCCCGGCCTGCGCAGCCGCGGAAATGGCAGGGGCGGGGCGCGCGGCGGCGGCGGCGGCGGCGGCGGCGGCGGCGAGGGCGGGGCCTCGCGCGCTGTTTCTCCGGCTCCTCCCACTCCGGGTCACGCCGCGGTAGGGGCGGAAGCTGTGCGGCCGCGCGGGTGCTGGGTCCTGCGCGCGGCTCAGAGGGGTGCCGGCAGCCGGGCAGCGCGCACCGCGGCTGCCGCTGCGAGGTGGGGYTCGCGGCAGGGGGCGGGCGCGGGGGCGGCGGGGTGACAGCTCGGGTCGGCGGCGGGGCGGGTCGCGAGCCCTCCCCTCCCCTCCGCGGCGCGGCTCCTGCCGCCCGGGAGCGAAGCAAGGGGGCGTCCCGGGAGCTGAATGCGCCGCCGCCGAGGGCAAGGTTTGTGGGGCGGGGGTCTCCTCAGAGCGGGGGCATTTCCGGGCCGCGGTGTCGGGACCACCGGGTTCGCGGCGGGGCGCGGGGCGGCGAGCCTCCGGGCCTGACCGCGTCTCCTTCCCCCGGCGGTGCCCCTCCCCGGCTCGCCGCGCCTCCGAGCGCAGAGGTGAGCCCGGGGCGGCTTCTCTGCCGAGGGAGGGGACGGGGCTCCCCGCCGGGGCGGCCGCGGGACCCGGTGTGGCGGGAGCGCCCTCGCTCGCCCCGGGCCGCGCAGGTGTAGCGGGGCCGCGGCGCGGCGCCGGCGGAGCCCCGAGGAGCCGCGGCGGCTGCGCTCGCGCCCGGGGCCCCGCCGCGGAGAGCCCGGTGCTCGGCGCGGCTGGCGGGACTCCCCCGGCTCCCCGCTAGGCTCGCGGCGCACGGGTCGGCCAGTTTTGTTTTTGTTTTTAAAAATATTTCAGTGGAAGAAAGGCGAGTGGGAGGGAGGTTTCTTCAGGAGGCGCGCACCGGAGAAAAYGACCATCAATAATTAATTGTCTCCCCGGCGGAGAAAGTGGTCAACAAAAGACGTCCGGGCGGGTGGGGATTCAGTGTTGCATTACTGAGTGGTTCAATGTTGAATCTAGTTCTGGGTCCGTATTCCTGAGAATTTGATTAGTGTAGGAGTAGTAAGGTATTAGTCTTGCCTTATTTTAAGTGGCCCAAAGGGAAATTATTCTTTCTTTGGTCTATGAAGAAGATTCTAGTATTAGTTTGTTCTAATTTTAGAAATTATGCTGACTCTACTGTAAATTTGGAATCCTCTTGATTMACATTTTTGTGAATTCTGTGAGTATGTTTTAAGAAACAGTTCCTGAATAAGGTGGTTCAGAAACACCTGGGAATTATTTAAGTAGAAGTCTGGGTATTGATATAGCCACTTGTATGTTTATAGAAAACACCTGCTTTTTTTCTTTTAATCACATTAAAAGCAAACCAAAGCTGTGCATTTCAAATTAGGAAGAAACGTGCTCATAAAGTATTGAACATGAAACATTGTATTTACTTAGGTGTCTTTAAAGAACCAGATGTGAAAACTTTGAGTATCCTAGTTTATTTTAATGACACTTTGGTTAGTATTTCTAAGACGGTGTTTAAAAACATAGTCCTTACAACTTCGCTTATTTTTTCTCTTTTAAGACCCAGCAACAGTGAAAATAGGGATTATGTCAAGTGCTAAAAAAAGAATGGAGGTACATAATTGTATAATTAAAGGTGAAATGTACTATTTTAAAAACCTTTGATCAAATTTAATAATGGCCTTTATAGTTAGTGTTTCCATTTCGTATTTAACTACTTCTTGAATTATATTATTTTTTATTGCATTAAGAACGTTTTCAGTGGACAATTTGATTAAAATATTTGAAATTTCTGGAAACTCTGCTTTTAGGAAACACATTCCTAGKTGACAGAGTCAAATGTTGCACGAACCTTGGCTGATTTTTGTTCCTGAACCCCCCCCCCCTTCAGATATTTTGCTACAATACTATATGTACTGCTGGAGATGTAGCTCAGTGGTAGGATTCAGGAGGCTCTAAGTTCAGTCCCTGTACAAAAAAAAAATATGTATTATGCATAAAACTATATATTTTCACATTATTTTTTGTTTTTTTTATGAATAATGTGAGATTTTTAAAATAAATATGTGAAGATTTATGTGTAAGAATTCATATTTATATATTCATATTTTTATGTATAGAGAGTTTTGTCAGACTTTTTGAAAACACAAATGAGACCCAGAAAGCCTTAGAGTATAACAACGATTAGGTAGGTACTATTATTAAATTACCAGCACTTTATCTAGCAGTATAAGGATGTTATAGAACTAAATGTCAACTTATTTATTTTGGTGCTGGGGATTGAACCCAGCTTCTCATGCATGAAAAACATTCGTTTTACCACTGAGCTACACCCTCAGGCCCCTAAGCGGTTATTTAATGCTTAAAGAAGTATAGTGCACTTCAGAATATGTATGGTTCATAGGTAAAATTATATTGTTTCTAAGAAAATGAAGACTAAGTCAAAGGAAAATTGTTGATAGAAAGGCTTCTCAGAATAAGGGTAGATGCCAAAGTTTTTCCGCATGATGTTAATAATCCATGAAAAGTACTCTTAAAGATGTTATTATAATTCATAAATATGAAACAGTAGAATTACAAGATCTTCAAAGCTTTTCTCCAAGATTACGTTTGTGTATATGGGATTTGTATTTTATGGTAATACTTTTCTACTTTGAAATTCCTATCCATAGGTATGTCCTATTTATTTTTCATTTTATTATTTCATATATGTGTGCACACGTAGTAAAAACAATGGATCAGGAAAGGGAATGAATGACAATTACAGACTCCATATATTATTAATTACTTATGCTAAGTATTTTTCTATCCTTAATTGAAAAAATTCTAATAGCTTTCAGTTTTTCATATTACTATTCATTATTTATCTTGTAGTCTTTAGTTCTTATTGTTTGTTTAATCATGTTGTTGTTATTAATAGTTTGAGAATGCTTAAAATTGATCTAGTAGAAGATACCAGTGCTTCTATGTAATCCAGATTCCTGTGTTCAGTAGTTACTACACATTGTGCCTGATACTCATCTATTGAGTTTACTAAGAAGGAATGAGTAAGTTTTTAAAGGCATCAGAATTCAGGAACTGCTAAGAAGACACAGTGAGATGGAAAAAGGGGAACACAACAAAAACTAGGTATATTTCCCTACTGAATGTTACAAACAGTAGTGTAATTTGAATATTGATCATTCATGTGATATGTTTCTCATTTTAAAAGTGTACATAGTACTAATGGGTAGTATTTATTGAGTACTTCTGCCAGTGACTGGTGCTCTAAATTATCTTGTTTAATTTTCATGCCACCGATGTGGTACACCTTTACCATGCTCATTTTATCTGAGGACACTTGGGGAGGTTAAGTAATTCCGAAGTGATGGCTTTACACCCAAGCAGTCTAGTATGCCTTCATAGATACTAACTACATAATAACTTTACTCCACACAGTTGAAAATAATAGCAGATGCTAATATTGAGTGGCTTAATTTATTTTTTTGGCAGATTTTTTAATATAATGGCAACCCCCCGGGGAAGGTCAAAGAAAAGAACAGCTTATGATGGTTCAGATAGCCTTCCTTTGAGGAGCTCTGGCAGGCAGGTATGTTCATTTGTTCACTCAACCTCTTTGAGCATACAGGAATATTACGGTTGGGACTGGAAAATTAAAAGTGGGAAGACACAYCTCTAGTCCTACTGTGGAGAAAATCACAGTAGTCGTGGTACAGCATGATAAAGGGAGAGGATGTAGAAATACTGCATCTCTGGTTGGGGGAACTGCAAGGATAAAGGCATGGCGTGCAGATGGGCATCAGAGAATTGCACTACGTGATGGGGCTCTGGCCGCATTATGCACGGCTTGGATGTCATTCAGAGGAATTTGGACTTCTGCTTATAGTCAGGTATTGCTTTTTTTTGGTAGTGCTTTTCTTTTTCATGAAAAAAATTGATAGAATTATCTCTCTAGAATTTTCCTGATTTTTTTTAAAAAACAAAAGTCTGTAATACTGTAAGGGTTTAAGTCTTCTAAGAAAAAACGTCTTAATTTTGAGAATGACTTGTGTTTATTCTGAGCGGTGTCACTTTTTCCTGAGAAAGGCTCAGGTGAATTTGAGTTCCTAGGTGCCTACTATTAAAGTGCTGGTTCTGTATCTCTAGCCAGCCAGTGAACTGTGTGTGCAGTGAGTCATGAGGCAGTGGTTCCTGTGGGTCAGCCTCTGGGCCACTGCCAGGATGTTGTTGACCTTCACACTTGGAACTCGTAACGCATATGGTTTCAGTAGTAACACACCTTCCACCCCATCACCCTGGTCAGCCCAGTGATCCTCACCTCAGCTGACTCTCCCACAGGCAAAGAAGAAGGCAACAGAGACAGCAGATGAGGACGAGGATGGCGTATCAGAGAAGAAGTACAGGAAGTGCGAAAAGGCGGGCTGTACGGCCACCTGTCCTGTGTGCTTTGCAAGTGCCTCTGAAAGGTCTGTTTGGAAGGCGCATCTGGCCTTGAGTTGCTGCCCATGAGAGCAGTGTGCTTTGTGGGGACATCTTCCTAGAAGGTAGTTTTCCCAAAGACAGATGCCGGTCCTGAAAATCACCTAACGAGAGAGAGACATTGCTCATTCTCTACACTCCACATCTCCACAGAGCTCCTTGGCACTCCTGGACTAATGGGAGAGAGCACAMCCATGCCAGCTCCGAAGTACAGTGCCCTCAT